AAGTTCATGAGCGGGAATACCAATGCCCTGAGGAATGTCGGAGGCCTAAAGGTCCCAAAATCCGAGTTATATAGATATACCAGCACCCGACTCTACAGGTCTCCGAAATGGAGGGTTGTAAGGCCCTAAAGAGGTCTCAATTGGTGACCTGTTGAAGGGTGCTGGTATACAGCCCTCTTGACGTTGAACATCCTCCCGCATGAAAAGGTGTTGCACTCCATGAGTACATCGAGTCTACATTCAACATCATCTAACCACCTTTGGGGGGGTTCCAATCATCCAAGGCTCCCTCCGACGAGTGAGTGTGATGCCGCTCAAGGTGATGCCGCTCAAGGCGAGGCGCCATCTGCGAAGCTGCCGAGGTTTGCCCCTTCTACCAACGATGAAAAGCAAAAACACGTGCCAACAACAGTATTAACGTCCAATGGGTCATGGAAATCAGTTCCGGAAGTCCGACTGTTGCCCAGGACCGGCAGGAAACTCCGAATCTCGCGCTTCCGATGGTCTCCCAATGCCAGCCGGTCCCCCATCTTCAGCACTTGACACAGAACGATGCAAGAGGGCCAAACTGGAGGAGGCCAGACTTGCATCCAGCATGTTGCGGGAGGAAACCGTCGTCCGTTTGGATGGTTTCGTGAAGAAACGCGTGAACTGGGAACCGGCATCTAAAATCACCGTGTCTCCTCGAAGAAAGGCGATCGATTTTGGGCCCAGAAACCAATCACGGTTGCCCAGCTATCTGTTGAACCTTAAAGTCCTATTCATGCGAGATGTTTAAATCCAGAATGGGCCCCACCATCCTGAAGTTGACCTAGACTTCCACCATCAATGGTGCGTATGCAGTAAAAAAGAAGCTCTTCTTTCTCAGGTACCTCATCCTGGCACCGCAACCTCCTGGCACGTGCCTGGCGGGCAACACCTCCGCCGGCCGCCGTCTCTCCTCCGCGCACGCGGCTCGTCCACGCGCGGGGCGGGGTGGCGCCGGCGCGGGCGGCACGTCGGCGATCAGCTCCATGGCGGTCGTTCTCCGGTGGCTGCGGCGGCGTCGCAGTTGGGAGACGGAGCCCAAGAGAGGCTAAGCGTCCGGTCGTGACGCGTGCCGTGTCGGGTTTGGGTTGGTGGAGCTCGGCAAGACCTTGGAGATCCGAGCCCTCTCGAGGGCAACTTGGACCCACCCACCAGGTCTTCCCACTGAACTGGATCTGAGTGGATAAAGAAAGGCTGACCAAAAGGCTCACAGGAGTTATAGCCCAAAACTGAAGAGTGTCCCGGCCGGTGGAGCCTTTTGTGCATCTTTGCGTCGCACCTGCCAACATGATGAAGCAACCTGGCTGAACTAGTGGCCATAGGTAACAACAGAAACGCATGCATGCTAATTACAAGATCCTGGGTTTTGAGGTCAACGGTCACGGGGTCAAAGCACTGCCTGGATCCAGTCACTTCATAGGGAGTCCCCCACCCGAAAAGTTGCAAGACCTTGGCACATGTCAATCGTATTCAACCCGTCAGCCTCACAATGGCTCTTTTCGGCCCCGATTCGTAAACACAGTGCCTTGCGATGAACTTGTAGGTTGCGAACCCCTAGCGACATCCCATGGACTATGTCGGACCCGAGCCGCCCCTGGACCCTGCCAAATCGACCTCTCGGCAGCCTGCCCGGCTCCATCTGCGACCTCCATCTACCCTTGGAGTGGGCTTCGGAGTGGCCTATGGAGGCCTGAACCCCCAAAAAAAGATAGAAACACGGTTACTTGGAGCAGCCGAGGTGTGCCCATCAAATTATTCCGAGGTACGTCTGACGGTATTCCGCTTGACCACTACTACGGGAGTCTCACCCTTGCTGGGAGCCGTGCCAATCGCCCGCACTGTTCGGGGCGATCACTTCTTCCGCCAGTCTCGCCACTCTTGCCCATCGGGAGGCGAAGGCCTGGCTTGAACGAGCGGTCCGCGGTGTGGAGGCCTGTCTTAGAGATAGACCATGTGCGTGATCTTCCTTTCAGAATAGCGGCATTGGACTACAGGCCACAGTATATTTAGATCTGGATGTCGGTGACTCTATTCCCCAAACCTTCATCCGTCCAAAGACTCCTTCAAAACGCTGGACATCGACGCTTCAACAGGCACCGTTTGTGCGCTGCCACTCGATAAAAACACCACACACGGCTCCAAGCTGAGACCCAGTCCGCCAGCGCCTGTCTTTGCCTTCGTAGTCGTTGGCAGCGACTTCACCCCAATTCGTTGACCTTGGGACTCGCTGCGCCCGGTGCCACGCACGCCGGGGTGCCCTTCGCGCGCGCGTGCCGGAACGGGGTCCGACGTCATGATGCCAAATGTGAGAACGACAGGGAATATCCTTTGAGCAATTGGAGTCTGGACAGGTTGACTAGGACGAAACATCCCGAGTCAAAAGTCATTGTATCGGCCCGCACAATCACATCTCTCTCATGTCTCACTGTCGCTCCACGTTCCTCAGCTCCGGGCAAAACCGTTCCTGGAGCTCTGCCGGAGTTGTGGGAGTTGTGGACGGGATTGCTGGAGAAGCTAGCGCAAGTGTACCGCCTGATGTTTGTGGTGTGACATGGAATTTGCCTATCTCAAAATCATGTGTTGAATAGTTACTCACATTGGGGTCATAAATGGGGCGAATGTATGAATGAGTCACTAACTAATTAGTCCTAATACATGGTCTGGGAATGGGTATGACAATCTTCACGCCGGAGACAGCGGTGGACGGCTCCAGGTCTCCTCCTGAGGTCTGAAAGGACTTGTTCATGGCCCTCCTGAAGCAAACAGCGGCGCCGCGACCCGAGAGGCGCGCATCGAACGGCAGCGGCCAGGCCGTGGCCGTGGCGCGCAGGTCGTTGCCATGCCTCTTGAGTCGCATCCCCTCCTCGTATCCTCATCCGCTCTTTCGTAAATCTGCTGAAAGAGCTTGTTGAGCGCCTGACGCGAGCGCCCGATTCCTCACGAGACCGGCATGTACGACGACAGGGTGCGATGCACGATCCGATTTCACACCCCACAGCGCTCCTTGCGTTAGCTCCTCCTCAGAAGGTATTGACTGGAACCTCCAACACATGAGCAGGTACTTGGAGCATTGAGAACATCGCGAAACTTCAAGGATGCTATCTCCAAGCACCAGGATGCACCAGGAGAATCACTATAAGGGGTCCCAAAAATTTCCCACCATTCCCACCGTGACACCGCCACCTTCTCCCATTCGGAAGCCCCTCGACCAACCGGTGTTTCGGCTTCTCGACGCACGCGGCCCCCCCCGACTCGCCCGTACGAGCACCAAATGAACCCCCCCCGCTCTAACAACACCCAGACGCTCCATGGGACTGCCATATATTTGCCGATCAGTTGGGGTGGTGCCAGGGGGGTCAATGTAGGGCAGTCCCATGGAGTGTATGGGTTATATAATGGCCATACTCACCCCTTCACACCGTTGATCCCAAAGCTACCCCACAGAAGGTGGGGCTCGCCGTCGGGCTTCGCCGCTTCTCGCCTGGTCTCCGTCCGGCTTCTCGTTCTTCAGCTCCTCCTGCACCGAGCCAGTGAAAGGCGGGCGAATCCGCCACCCATTTGAAGTGAGTGTCGACGAAACCAGGATCTGAAGAGAATCTCAAAGCTTCACCGAAACAAGAGAGAAACACACCGCGCTCTCTCCCCTATAGAGGTGTGTGATTTACCTTTGTGGTCATTATTGATTCTAAGTTGACTTGACGCAAGCAGCTCTCTAAAGCTCACACTTTCTCTTGCTCCAACGGGCACGTCCGTGCCATGCCCAAGCAGGAAATCACATCGGCCACGCCGCAGCGCGGCAGCGTGGCAGCGCTCTCAGAAGCGCACGGCCCGTTGAGGTGCGCCGGACGGGAAATTGCCGCTTCGACATCGCTTTGGGGTCAACCCTTGCGGCGTTCGTGCTGGCATCTCGTTGTTCGGTCTCGGGATATGGCCCTCCGGATGTCTCGGAATATTCGGAGCATGTACAACTGCGCTAGGTCTATAACCCAAACACTCCATGTATGCCATATATTTGCCGATCAGTTGGGGTGGTTTTGGGGGTCAATGTAGGCATCTATGGCAGTCCCATGGAGTGTTTGGGACGTTAGTTTGTGGGGGGGGGGTAAATTTCACAAGCGGTGACCTGCTGGTTCCCAGAAGGTCTCCATCCTCGGTGAAGGATCCCTTTCCCGACCGACCGCTCGGATTTCAGCTCATGAGTCATGAGTGATCCAGTTGCCTCTTCGTCTTCTGTACAGAGGACACCGGCGGGTCGACGGAAGATCCCGGCAGTTGCATCAAAAGTTGATGTGGAAGAACTGAGGAGGCCATGGAAAGTGGCAGCCTCTTCGGGTGGATTGTAGAAGTTCGTTAACAGGAAGATAGTGTGCGTTTCATCCATCACGTTTGGGGGGGTTGAGGCCTCGGGACGAAAGAGCAAGGTGAAAGGTAAAGGTCAATATACTTCGAAAGAAATCCCGTTTGCTCCAGTTTGCAACCTTGTTTCGCACACGCTATCATATCATCGTTGCAAAGCCATGCATGCAGTTTGGAACCTACCAAGCACGATAAGCAATGTCTCTTCTCATAGCTCTTGGTCGGATTGCAAGCTCGTGATATGTTGTCTGATATGAGTTTCCAAGCATAAAAATTAGAAAACACATGGATGTTAGCGGATTCAAGTCCCTATAACTGCCCAATGTGGAAGTGGACCACCTTTACAGCTATGTTCACTCTACGACTTTGTCCACTTGCATGCTCAAACGCTGAAGGGGGATGGAGAAGCTCTTGGAAGGGATCCAGAATCCAACCTCCTTGAGCATGAGCATTTCTCTTTCAGTAGATTTCAGTAGGGTTTTCAAACACAACTCTATAGTAGTCAACGGCAGCGTCTACAGCAGGCTCACATAGGTCCGTGTCAGTGGGCCCATGGGGACATGGACCAAAAGGAGTTTCATGGACACCCATTGCCTGTTGTGATTGTTTTTTAGAGAGGACGTCGACATTCCAACATGATCACCCGCAGCATGAAGCTATCAACATGACCGCGGTCTGCGCCATCACCACCGGGACCACGGGCCAAAATGCCCCGTCGCCGACCACGGTTGCGCGGTGCGTGGGTCCAAAACACTGCACTATGCGCCGTCCACCACGATGCGCCCAGGCAAAGCGCCACTCAGCTCCTGGATGCTCCAATTAGCGACCGCCAACCGAAAGTCAGGTCTTCGATATGAACAAACCCTGTCACACTCCATGTGGATGCCCTGCTTTGCATACATTGGGGTGGTTGAAAAAGGGTCAATGGAGGCATACCAGGACCCTCCAAGGGGTGCCCAATGGAAACCTATGTAGTGTGGGGTAGTTCATTGGACACCCCGACAGGAGGGTCCTGGTATTCACATGGAGTGTTTGGGACTCACTGAATGCGGCGCTGCGACATGTTGGTGCCATCCGGCATAAACCGCCCGGCTCAGGTGGAAAAACCGTGAAAAACGGGGAGAAAACCGGATGAAGCGACAAGACCAACGCGAGGGGCGAAAAGGACACAGGGTGAGCGATCGGACGCTACGAGGTGGGAGGCCATCGCTACCCAAACGCTCCAAACAGCTGTTGGTCCCTCAAAACTAGGGAATTGAGACCCAGAATGCTCCAGAGGAGGGTCCGACCCCTCCATATGAGGGCCCAGGGTCGCGTCTGGTGTAGTACGTCACAAGAAGCGATGGCAATAGCTCGTCATCTGTCCGCCCGCGACCGGGAGAACGTGTCCGGAAATCTTCGACCTTTCCGCGGCTTCTTTTTGACAGAGCGAGTGAGACGAGTGTTGGCTCAGGTCTTACCTCGATTATAAGCGATAGGAAGCCTTAGAGAGTTTCGACTCTACTACGTCCCCAAGAAGTAAGGACAACTGTGCACGCGACAGGCCATCAGATTTGGAGAAAGGATGAAACGTGTTGAACCAGGCCCCGTGCTTCTGAACTATGTTCCAAGTTTCAATCCTTAAGTGAGGACAACTTGAACCATTTGGACCAGAACTGGGCATGCTCGAATGCTCCCAAGAAGCAAACCTCAACACGATCGGATTCCTAAGCCGCGGAAGCGGCTTAGCCGTGATCGTACGAGACCGACTTGGGGGGGGGCGCTGTTGTCGGGTCCCATTATCCAGGCCTTCTTCTCATGCAGGTAGCTGACCTTAAAGAGCGTCGACTGGTGATATCCAGTGATCTTTTCAGACTATACAATACAGTGGAGAAAAAGAACATTCGGATATGATAGGATGTGAGAACATCCAAGAAACACACGACGATGGCATGTTTCGGCATGTCAAACCGCAACAGAAAGCGTTCGTTCATGTTCGTTCAGGTCCTTTCACTTTGATAATAGGCACTGCCCCCACATGCCCCCACACTTGCGGTGACAAACCAGTGGTCTTTGACAGGTCAGTTGTGTCACTTGCCAGCTCTACCCACGTGGGCCTCAAACGGATTCCATGAGCTCAAAAACGCCCAGATTCCATGGACATGTTGGGCTGGAACTGCCATGTATGCCGATCAGGCCAGGGGTGGTTTTGGGGGGTGAATGGGGCGGCATATATGGCAGTCCCATGGAGTGTCTGGGAATGAGTTCAACACAGGCCCCACCTGATCCCCAAAACATCAAACGATTTTCTCACACCGACCTTGATCAACCTCCTAAGGGTCTCCTGAACCAGGAAGTAGGGATTCAGGAGGAACAGCCTCCCTGAGTAGAAGGGTCTAGACGCCCATGAGCCCACTGGGTGCAACATATATAGCTGATTTCGATGCTTCTAAGCCTTGTTCGGAACAAAGATCCAGGTCCATGTCTATAGTCTATAGTCCATAAAGGTTCACTCCAATGTGCCCGTGTCATCAGCCACCCTGGAAAAGGTACTAAAGAATCTGTTTAATGCTTGATACTGCTTGATCATTGATTCTTAGTGGTGCCTCAAAACACGAAAGCTCCTCGGCGCCAAGCCCAGACCTGTTGCCCCAAAAACTGTGAAGATCGTTTTTCACCGGCCAGGAGCGTCTCGGCCAACGAGCTGCACCACCATCCAGTCCGCTGCGCCACCCAGGCCCATCCGCCCCACTCGGCACCGCCGTCCGACCGGAGAAAACGCCCTGCTCGCCACGACGAAGTCGTCCTGAGCCGCCCAAAGGTCCGAGCGGCCACAGCCTCGCGGATGAGGCCCTCATAGAGCTCCAGCACCGGCGTGTCGTGGAAGGTGGTGACGCCGTCCGCCGCGACCAAGGTGTAAAACTCGCTCACCGCGATCCTCAGCAGTCCCATCCGAGTCACCCTGCGACGTCTTCTCCGAGGTGTCGGTGGTGGCGGTGGCGGCTGTAAGACACGTTTTCTCGGATCGGAAAGAGACTGTGCCGAACAAGGAGTGGAACATGGTGGAAAGCTAGAGCCTTGCCCCATGAAAGGATGTTAAGCTTACAGCAAGATCTGTGTATTATCTGTTCATTTCAATCAACTATGCCGTTACGGCGTCTTGTCCCAAGACGTGTTCTGGATGTGGCAAGACGGAGAAAGGCAATTTTTTGTGGTATAGCAAGGGCAAGCGGCAAGGTACCTAAAAGGTACGGTGGATTCTTTTTGGTGTCCAAGGCCGGCTTGAGCACATGCGAACGCAACCCCTGAAATGGCCTGTTGTTCTGCTGACTTTTCACAGAAAAAAGAGAATGGGGCATGACCGAACAAATGCATACAAATGACCGCCTTTTTATAATCGGCTCATTCAAAGGCAAAACTGTATCGTCATCCAACATGTTGACTGACCATTGTTGACCACTCCCAGAATACTGGGATTATTAGCTAGGGTCATTTAAAAGGGGCCAATGTATGTAACTATTCCCCAGACCCATGGAGTCTCTGGGACTGACCATCGTCTTCCCTCTTCTTCTGCCCTGCGTCAGGTACTCACGTTGAGGATCCACCTCGGAGCCGTTGATCTTCAAGGACTTGATCTTCTCCATGGCGGGCGCTTCAGGCGAATAGACCTGAGGACTGGTCGATTGGATTGACCAATTCACCTGGTAGGGGTGGTGGAAAAAGTCAACAACGTTGAATCGGACCGATCATGGGACCCGTTCTTCCGCGAACAATGTTGAGGTTTGACTGTTGCAGTGAAGAATTTGTTTGAGTTCGTGTGAGCGAGCAATGTGACTACGCAAACTTTGACCAGCAGTGAGCAATACATGATATTTTACGGTGTTTTCACGTATTCTTCATGGAGCTTTGGAAATCTTTTGGTGTCCACTGAAGAAAGAAGACCAACCAAAGGCCCTGAGGCCCTGCTGTTGAAGCAGTTGAACCAAATCAATTGTGTCATGGAAATTTTAGGACATTCTATGACCTTGCCTTTGGTGAACAATCCAAGAGAGGTATGAAGTGACCGTAACCTGGGGTATTTATGGGATAGTCACGCCTAGGGTTCTTCAACCTAAGTGCGATGGCCTCCAACCTAGTAGCGTCACCTAGCGATGCCAGGAGCCCCTAATTAGTGTAGCTTCTTGCTCCTGGTAGTCAGGCCAGGAGCCCCGTTCATAGCGTCCTTGCTCCGTTCGTAGCGATGCCAGGAGCCCCGTTCGTAGCGTCCTCTGTTGGATGATTGGGTATACCTTTGGGATCCGAGCCGCCAAGTGCATCCCCTCTGAGATCTGCGGGAAGCAGGCCACTGGCGTGGGTGTCGAGCGGAGCATCTCCTCGAGTCCTGGCGAGTGTCTAACCAGCGGTCGACCTACCACAGAAGCGAGTTTTGGACTACAAAACGTACAAAACCAGGTCAACCAGTTTCTTAGTCTTTGAAGGCTAGGATTCTAGAACACCATGGCCCAAAATTCCAGCGTTCTTGCCCTGCCATAGCTGTGTCGAAGCCGGGCCACACTCTTCTCCGATTCATGACGGAGAACTGCATGGACCGCCGGCCCATTCCGCGCGCCGGTGTCCGCGAGCGAGCGGGCCTCGTCGCAGCTGCTGGCCGCTCAAGCGCTGCAGGGCGATCCGCTTGTTGAAGGGCATCTCCTCGTTGATCTGCGACCGGGTCCTGATCACCGTTCGACCGCGGCGCACGCGGCGCACGCGTCGTGACCAATGACGGAGTCTTCTGATTGTCTGTGCGTGGAATGCGCGTGGTGATTCAAGAGCCGCCGTTGACGGCAATCTTCATATTTTGAGGCGTCATGATAGAAACATGCACTGGACTTCTGAATCATGATGTCCTCAGGCTTGGCCTGGACTTGACGTCCTGGAGTTCCTCTCGCTTTGCTCTCTGTTCTTTTGTACTGAGTTTTGCTACAAAGTTGCTCCGACTCATGCACATGGACGTGAGCAAACAAGAACAATCTGGAAGAACGGCCGAACCATGCGATCCCAAGTCGTCTTTGTCCTATCATCCTCTCAGGAGCCGACCGATATCAGTCTAGGATGACGACGATGCGTGGTCCAAAGGCCATTCTCTTTGGAGGTGCCTTCCCGAAACATGGACTCTGACAATGGCTCCCTTTTCGGAAGAGTGCTTTCCTCTACCAGCCAGTACTTTTCAGGGTCGGGATCGTCGTCTTCCAGGATATTTTTCCAGTCACAAAGCAACGATTGAGAATGGCCCCTTGGAAGACCATTTTCATACAATCAGGTGGTGAACTCCATTTCCATGTGAGTTCCGGGGAGGGAAATAACCTTCCGAACCACCTCACTCCTTCCTGCTGGCCCCCCCGTGTGACCTCCACCGGTGAACCTCCACCGGTGCCCTAAAGCGCCAGGTGTCAGGGGCCCAGGCAGGTAGATCCGGTCGTGTCGCACGAAGCCACCTGGAAGAACCGACGAGTGGGGAACCGTTCGAAGAACCGGTGGATCGACGGGAGAAATGTGAAGCTTGTAAGATTGATTTTGAGGTTATATCTTAGGTCTATCCGAATAGCTGTAACAGCGAATGATGTTGGTTATGGCCTTGTTCAACATTTTATCTGGTTATATATATATATCATTGATCAATGATATACCCAAGAATGAGGATGATGTGAAGACTGAGCTTTTTGTCAGCCTGCTCCGAGCTTTTGGGCCTCGATCTCTCTTCCGGTCTGCTCCGAGCGACCGTTGATGATCGCACCCTGGCATCCCTGGTGGCGGAAGGTCCAGCGCATGGCGTCTGCGACGAGGCCGCCGAAGGAGTTCTCTCCTCGGCGAACGAACGAACGAACGAACCAACGAGGACGGCCGGGAGGGTGTGGGCCGGACGGCGCTCCCAAAACCTCTGGAGAAAGGGGATGAAGTGGAAGGTTTGTGACCAAGTCCCAGTGGATAGGCCATCTTTTCAAGAGACATGTGGCTGTCAATGTGCATATAGGTTGCGTGAGAGCTGAAGGAGTTCTCTTCGTGGAACAGTCGCAACCTCTTGAATTTCAATGAAACTGCGTGGGGGGCCGCGGCGTTACGCGGAAGATGATTGCTACAGGACGTCCCTTCGATCCTACAGGGACTCGACTGGACCCTGGATGAGAAAGCCAGTCATTCTGGCTTTTGTGCTGCCCCTGGTCGGAGTAACTCATTGGCACGCAGAACGGGACTGCGGCCTGCCCCCTGAGGAACTCATGGCTCGGTGCACGGTGGGAACGAAAGCCACGGCGAGTGGTTGGTGGTGCCACGTTAACGTGGTCCAAAGCATCTTAAGACATTTGATGACCACTATAGCCTAGGACTATGACTCTTGAGGGGGCCTGACCTTTTATATTAATATAATCATTAAGCATGCAAATAGATTCCTTTAAATTACACGTTCTTCAATGGGGCTGTTCTCCCAGGCAACTGCCATGCGTTCTCCGACGGAGCTCACGGCCCCGCGCATGGTCACATCTGAGGGTGTTGGAGGGCACGTCACGGTGGGCATCTATAATCCCTCCCAGACACTCCATGTGACTGCCATATATGCCTACATTGACCCCCAAAACCACCCCAATGTAGGTAAATATGCCATACATGGAGTGTTTGGGCCTTGTGCCATGCCCTCTCGTTCTGCGCCCAGTTTCGAGTTCGGAGCTCATTGGTGCGCGAGGACCTCGGTGCGCTTCCTGTCGGATCCGCTTCGCGCAGTCTGAAAGCGAGGATCAACACGCCAATCCTCAAGACTTATGCCCTGGAAGTCCAAAGACTAGACTTTCCCTGAGTGAAGTAAAGAAATACACCCTCAGATCCCATAAAGACAATTCTTTGTATAGTCTTGTGGCATTCCCAGGAAGTCTGGTGGCGAAATCGACGTCCAGGAGTTCCCGCCTCTGGTGCTTCACACACACAAATTCACCAACAGCCAACAGCATCAATTCAACCTGGTTCACAAATCAAAATGACAGGATGCCTTAAGCTCCTCCAAAGAAGTTGTTTTTGGCCAAGGAGCAGCGGCACGTCCTTGATCGAACAAACCTTGGATAGATGCGGCCACTTGGGGATGTCGGCTTCCCCCACTGCTTTTCGCTTCTGTTCAGTCTGTCCCTTTGTCATAACATTGGATGGCACTGGAACGTAACTCCATATTCCTTCATTCCCCCCCTGGTCTATAGCGGATGGAGAGTAAATGGCACAATCCCCCATCTGAAAGACCTCTTGGAGTTTCTGCCGGGGTCTCTGGGCTCTGGGTGACTCTGCCTGCCGGCGCAGGAGCCGCGTACGCGGGCCAACTGAGCCACCAGTGGGGGCATGCCAGTCCGTTGAAGAACACACACTCGAGATAATGCGTACTGAATTGAATGCCACTCGCCACACGGCAACCTAGACACACTCCGGAGTCCACCCGCTTCGGATGGTGATTGGATGGAAACATGTTTGCACATAGTCTGGGGGTTCTACTGTTACACTGGCGCTGGTTCCTAAAGTTGTTTTATTGAGTTGTTACAAAGCTTGTCACAACGAAGGCTCTTGGCTGCCCACTTCGTTGTGTGTTGCGAGGAGACATCGCCGATTGGCACCCGCCGGTCTGCCATCGAATGTTGAAATGATCTCCTGTGGGCTAGAGACTATAGTAACAATACCAGTAGCAAAGGGCCTCACGACTCGAACGGAGCGATCAGACGCGAACCGAACGCTCCTGGCCTTACTAGCTACTAAGAGGCGGAAGCTACTAATTAGTCTAAACACCACATAGGAGAAACTAGGAGAACAAAAAAAACACCAAACTAGACTAGACTGCTAGTCGACGTCTAGCAGCACATGGGAGTCCGACCTGAATCCGGCCCAGCGCACGGCGAGTGGCGGTTTCATCTTCTCCATCTTGCGCGTTCCACTTCTCAACGATCTTGGCCACCTCACAGAACTCCGAGGATTGGCAGCCGGATCTTGGCTGACCCATCGACGTCGATCAAACCGCTGACGAGAGGCCACAACGATGGTTGTCTCGTGTGTTTCCAGCTCAGTCCCATTGCAAATGGACATAGAGAACATGGAGCATGACTATAAAAACAAAGGTTTGAGACTCCAGGGGCATACTGGTAGACCAAGAAAAGTGGATGATTTCTGGGAGTTTCCCTCTTTCACATGCTTCAACCTCGCCTCAGGGTCGGCGCTGGCGCTGGAAGTGTTGAGGAATTGGAAGGAATGCTCCGCCTGACGCTGAACGGGGGACGTCGGAGAAACCGGCCCATTTGCTCGAGACTCGCCGTTCTTTTTTGTGGGTCACACTTGAAGCTCCAACCTCAAACAACATGAACATGATCGTGGGTCCTGAAAGAAACATGGGGGCCGGCCACACGTGCGCGGCCACCCTCGGCGGTGGGCCGAGTGTAGCACCGGAGCATGGCCGGTGCCACGTCGACGAGCGTTTCCCCGTTGGTTCGTACGTGTCCGGTATCGTTTGGATTCGGAGTACGGTGCACGGTGCGCATCGGAGTACCGAATGCCCGAAGAAAAAACGATCTAAAGAGCGAAGTCCAGGACTATACATGGTCTGGTAGCAAGTTCCCTGGTCTGAAGCTGAATGGTCGGTGGGATGGTGTGAGAGCTGGGCAAGGGGCAAAGTATGGCTGGGTATCATGTAGCATCTCTAAGTTGGACTCTCGGACTCTCGGACTCCATTGGCCCATATTGGCCCACAACCGCTCCCGACGTTTCGAGACTCAACTGGCCTACTGCATGGCGCCCACTAGACAAAGGCCCCAAACGGTATACCCTCCACGTCAACGCTCGCTTCGTCGGTCCAACCGTTCTCCAGACGAAGCGAACGTTCCCCTCCTGCAGGGAATGGTTGGGCCCAGTGAAGGCCAAATGCAAATCCAAGACCTGGCATCGGGCCATACGTTGGGATCTTGGAGCCTTAGAAGTGCTTGGTTTGAAAACCCACTTTGGCAGCCCCTCAAGAAGTGCTTGGTCGACTTAGAGTCACACTGAGTCTACGTCTTTTTGGGGTCTCGTTGCCTTGGTTGACTGTCCTCTTTGACCTATACGGAAGACGTGTGTGGGCCCCACGTCTTCACCGAAGCGTCGTTCTCCCCTCCAACCGCTCGTTTTGGTCACGGTCGGACCGGAGAAAACCCAAAAAGAAAAGACCCGAAGCATGGCAGGTAGTGACTGAACAGCTTCTTCAAAGTGACCGTCTTTGATAAATTTTATATTTCGATATAGAATCAGGTCCCTTAGGTATACCCAAACACTCCATGGGACTGCCATATATATATGCCGCCCCATTGACCCCCAAAACCACCCCAACTGATCGGCAGTCCTATGGCAGTCCCATGGAGTGTTTGGGATAGTTATAAGTATACGACCTTTCGTTGCGTCTTCGTTACGACACCGAGGTGCTCCCAGGTGATCGGCATTCTGCCCGCACTTCGCGATCAAGACGCCGCGATGCACCTGGGAGGTGCGGGTCTGCGGGTGAAGGGTGAGAACGACATCGGAGAAAAAGGCGTGAGCATCCGGATGCTTAGGTGCAAATAGGATTGCTTCAAATGGATGGACATGTTTTTTTCCACATCTTGATGGATTAGCGTTAGCATCCTCATCATTATCAACATTAAATATATTATGTATCTGCAACAAAGTGCATGTGGGAGCGCTGACCACAAATGATGCGGGAGAACTTCTCCATCCCCGGTTTGAATTGTTTGGTGCAGCAGCCTGCACAGCCCCTAGCTGTTGTGGAAGGAGGAACTGGGGCTAGTATGGGCTAGTGATGTTTAGAGCGTAGACCTTTCTTCAATGTCCTTTTTTTGAAATTTCAGAATATACGTAGCGGCTGGCCTCCAACCTGGTATCGATGGCCTCCAACCTACTGATTCCTCATTCTGAGATCGGACCTCGTGTCCAGTTGCGGACATTCCGCGCAGCAGGATCCGACTGCAGCACACCAGGCCACCAGACTGCAACTGCATATCAGAACACACTCCATGTATGCCATATTTACCTACATTGACCCCTCAAACCACCCCAACTATGGCAGTCCCATGGAGTGTTTGGGGAATGGTAGGGTGGTGTAACAGTGTGACGGTGCAACAGTGCAACACGATTGTGGGCCACATGATTGAGTCGCAGCGGGCTGGGTAGGTTTTCCGCCCAGGCAGCCCAGGTGCTAGAAAAAAGGGGTCATGGTCATGGCCTCCCAGAATCACGTTGATGCCCGGGCAGCTCTCCGCCAACTCCTTGTCGTTCACCTCGCGAGATCGCTCGCGAGCGCGGCGCAAGCCGGAGGTCGGCTCCGTCTCACCGAATGAGGTTAGCCCGTCGCATGAAGACCAAACAACTGAACAGACCGGAACAGCCTATAGCCTGGAGACCATCCAGGATGCCAGCCGAAGGGTCCATCTCGGCCAGGACACTAATGACAAGTGTGTGAGCGCGATGATGAACTCACAGCCCTTCTCACGCAATGCCCCGACGCAGCGTCGCCCATGCTCATGCGGCTGTTCAAAAGCCACCTCTTTCCTGCGACTGGGGGGGGGGCATCACTTGCAAAAGAACCATCGTCGTGAGGGGGTCGAAAGAACTTTGTCCCTTCCCCAAGCACTCCATGGGACTGCCATATATGCCGCCCCATTGACCCCTAAAACCATGTAGGTAAATATGCCATACATGGAGTGTTTGAGTTCTGTTTTGCTTGAAATGTCCTACCACCAGCGGCCAGGAACACCTGTGAGGATGGGCTCTTTCTAGCCATCGGTCAGGCTTGGTCACTACCCCTAATGGTCAAGCTGCATTGCGTCTCCACATCTTCTCCGAGAACAAGCAGCCTAAACGGTTGCTAGGGCACCTCAACGGTCAGCGCCTGATCTATGCAAACTGCGTGTCGTCGTGCCATGTCATGCCCGGCGGCAGCCAGCCGCCAGCGGCCGGTGGCCACATGATTGGACTGCTTGCTGCCGCCGGGTGCTCACTCCAAAGTTTCGGAAAAACAACGTATATACTCGTACCAACCAACCGTCCATGACCCAGACACTCCATGTATGCCATATAGGCCTACATTGACCCCCAAAACCACCCCAATGTAGGTAAATATGCCATACATGGAGTGTTTGGGTGATCTTGACCATGTTTCACTATAGCCGTGTCTCATTGTCTCATGGAATCCTCTCTCATCATAACAGTAAACAAAACATACACTGGAAGTGGACAAGGGCTCCAAAAGGAAGACCATTGTCCTTTACAAACAGGTGGTGAACTCCACTTCCAATGATGAGTTCAGGGAATGTATCTTTTATATAGAACTCCCAATAGTTTTGGATGGATCCTTTCACCTTTCAAAAGCATTCACTTTACATCCCTTCACTGATTCTATCATTGTCGGATATATGCCTTTCACCACCAAAAACAAAGGAGATTCTCATCAACTTAATGAAGTTCTCATCACCACCCCCCCAGAGAATCAATTTTGCCCACCGGTTTCCGCCCCGCCGCTCCCGGGCTGTGAGAGCTGCGGCGTGGCCGCCGTGCAAAGCCCGAAGACGCCCACCAACACCGTGCGGTTCTCCGCTCCGACGGAGATGGGGAAGACGTCGTAATCCAGGGTGGTGTGGAAGAGGGGCTTGTGACCTCGCAGAAAACGGGAGGAGGCATGGTTTGTATATAGGTTGTTTTTTTGCTGTCGGCTTCGTTACAGGCCCACGTTTTGGGTTATTTATGCTTCCATTCATCGATTTCATGATATGTAATAATGTTCAGTTTCACAACATGTTCATCGGTTTCACAACATTGTCAACGGCTTCACAACATTGTCATCGATGTATGGATGTTGTCATCGATGAGTCGGGTGATTAAAATGGGGTGGGGGGGGTTGTGATGGAATGAGGACGTGGATGTCGTGCTGAGAACATTGTTATCGATTTCACGATATGTAATCTTTGGCTTCACAACATTGTCATCGGCTTCACAACATTGTCATCGGTTTCACAACATTATCACCGTGTTCATATTCATTCATAACATTGTCATCGGTTTCACGACAGGTTGTCATCGGTTTCATAACATTGTCATCGGTGGTCATCGGTGGTCATCGTACAAGAAGCTTTCGAAGCGGTTTGGCTTGGTCCTTCGGCAATGCAATCACTCTAAGGGACTCTTCAATGTTGGCAATTGTCGATCCTTTCAGTGGAGATGGGAGATCGGAACCCAAAGGATACTGACGCATACCGCGCAGCGGCTTCGCTTGCTCTGAATGTGGACAGAAAAAGGTTGGCAGCAGTTTGAAAGCTCTAAAACAAACACTCAAACACCCTCGAAAAACAACCGTCCCGTTTTCCGCACAAAAACCCTGGAAGGGTTGCATTTTCAAGAAATGGTGACCTGGTTTCGGCAACCCGTTTTCGCCGCTAAAACTTGTTTCTCGCTGTGTGCAAACGAATTAAATCAACCAAAACGTGGGCCGGTAACGAACCCGGCGGGTTGTTTTTGTTCTTACTTAATCTTATTCATGTATGTTTCCCTTTATGGGTCTTAGGGGATGTCGTGTTTCTTTCTGATTGAAGAACTGGAGTGGGGATTTGGTGTGCTGCTTTGGGGGGGTGATCAGCAGTGAAGCAAATTGGAGGTTGGTGCAAGGATGTGAACAACATCTAATACACCAAGACGGAGACCCTACCAGTGACCTTTTGAGATCCCAGAATGAGGTCACTTAGGTCCTGAACATGTCACTTACAAATCCATAATGAGGGCACTAGAAAGGTCCTGTTCTTTCACTTATAGTATACACTATTTATATTTGCATGCCTGGTGTTGCGGGGTTTGGTAGTTCTGTCTTGCAGTGCCGCTTACCTTTCTCAAACTTTGATTGTATGCATCTGAGCTCCATATCACATCATCATCATCATCATCATCATCATCATAATCATCTGGAAAAGTGTCCGCACTCTGCCAGAAAACTGTCGACACAAACTTCTTCCGTGAAGAAAGGCGGTTAGTCGTCAGCGATGGTCCAGTGAGTCCAGTGGTTTGTTTCTCTTATGAAGTTGCTCCTTCAAATACGCCCTGGAAGATTAAGATGAAACCTCAAAGGGGTTGTAGAGAAAAACACATCCAAATTGATCAATTTTAGTTTCCATCTGGGCCTCTTCCTGGGTGTAATCAAATTGAGTCAGGTAGCAACTCTGACCAGTTCATGGGTCGGCCAACACCCTCATACCAGGTCTAAATGCAATGTACTTGGATGTACTTGGGCAGGCACCAAACACTCAAGATCATCAACAACCAGGGTTAAAAAACAGGACCATCAAACTCATGTTGTGGCTCTTCTCCCCTTTCGCATGCCAGGGTACCATTGCTGGGTGGCCTCGCATCCCTCACGTTGGAGCCTAACCAGGGGAAGCTCGACTTGTTCATGAGCTCTTTGGTGCGTTCAGCGCCAAAGTCGAATTCGTGGTTCCCCAACCTCGGCGGAATCTCCCGCAGCTTCGGCCCACGAGTTCGTCGCTGGGTCGGACGAGAGGAGGGCGGATGCGACAACGGTGGATGCATCCGGGTTCCGCTGAAGAGAAACAATGCGCACACACACACACACACTGTGAAGAATCCCTGTGGAAGAAGGCCCAGGTTGGTAGAAGCAAGGACGGCCCAGGACCAAGCACACGCGATCTTTGTGTTAAGATTTGCATCACTCACGTTGCAAATCGCAACATGGCCACTGGTCACTCACACAAAATGATTGTTCCAAAACCGGGGTGGTGGACTGCAAAGGTCCAAATACATTTTGATGAGCTGGGTTCTAGAGGGATACGCGTTCACGCGTTCAAGAATCGGGGTCTTGCTGCCTGCGTCCTGCCAGGTTGCGATATCGACTGTCATGCTTCAAACGGGGAAAAGAACAATAATCACCAAGATCCGATCTCTCTCGATCTGCTTATGTTCAGTTCCCCGCTGCCACCCGCTGCAACACATGCTTATACAACCGCGCGGAACGGGGCGCCATGTTCCGCGCCATGTTCTTGGCGGAACATGACGGCCATGTTCTGCCCAAGTGGCACACAGTAGTCCACATGAATGGCATTCCTTGGAGAACAGGTCTCCAAAGGTCCCGAGCTCTCGGTCTCCCGAACTCCGTCGAAACGAACCGAGAACTGGCATCGTGGCATTCGGAAGCACCAAAGAAAGACTCGTCAAGGAGCGGATTTCTCTTTGTTTTCGAAACACCTGAAACCAAGTCGACTTCGCAAACATCTGCGAGTCAAGGCATGCCTGTCTAACGAAGAAAGGCGTGACACCATGGTGCTTGACATTGAGATTCATTGGATGTGCTGTCAAACTATCAACATCTTCTCCAGGTTCAGGGAATCTCCACTCAGTTGGGACGATACCGATAACCTATCACCAGGGATTTGAGAAAAACATGGCAGGGATTTGGGAAGGTCCAGTGATTGAGATATGCAAAACCTAGGGGGGAAGGTCGCTGTGAAGGTCCAGTCGCACCTCGACCTCGACACGGGACCCAGCTGGTTCGGAGCTTCGGCGCCGGCACCGATGTTGCACAGACGACGGGGTCGTCGGTCACAGACGTGAAAATGCCATCTCTCCAAGCGTTTCTCTTACGTGCTGAGTCTGATCTGCTGAATCTGCTGAGACGGTGATCAGTAGTAGCAGATATATGGTATACCAGCACCACCCAAAGGGTGGTTTATAAACCCCCCCGTGAAGATGTATTTAACATCCCATCACCACCCTTTGGGTGGTGCTGGTACAAATAGGTTTATACTCCGCATCTGCCATCGTCTACAACAGGTGATAAGTACTTGTATACTTTGCATGTGTGGCAGCTAACTCCACCCATCTGTCCAGTCCGGATCGAGGGTCCAGACGTCTGGGGATCCACTCTCACAGGTCTGGCACCGTCTGAAGGCCTCACGCTTTGCTACCCCTCAGCCATTTAACTTATAAACTATATTATATGCCAGGACCCTCTAAGGGGTGCCCAATGGAAGCCTATAGGTAGTGTGGGGTAGTCCATTGGACACCCCTTGGAGGGTCCAAGTGGATATCTATATGGCTATTGGCATCTTATGCACCTTGCACCGTTCTGCACGGTCCATCACACCGTTCCACACCCCAACAAAGGCACATGCCCGCAACCCGCTTTCCCAACCGCCTTGCTCCACGCGTCAGCAGGTCAATCACCGACTCCCCTTGATGCAGGTTGGCGAACAATGATCCGCCCAGCAAGTCCCCAGGCAGTACGAACTTGCTGGCGCCGCCGTTCTTCGTGAGGCCTGAAGAAAGAACGAGCGGATGGTGAATTCAGTGAAGGTGTGGGGACGGGGACAAGAAGTGCAAATCAGGAGTGTGTGGGGTCCATGTCATAATTTGCCATGTTCAGGCTCTCTCATGTAGAGTGGTTTCCCCGTCAAATGGCACATGCCCTTCCCAAACACTCCATGGGACTGCCAGCCGATCAATTGACCCCCCAAACCACCCCAATGTAGGCATATATGGCAGTCCCGTGGAGTGTTTGGGCTTTGAGAAGCGACGTATCTGATGCTGTACCACTTCTTCCAACGCCGTTCCGAGATTCAATCGTTGAGAAGCGACGTCAAGCAAACGACTCTATTCGCTCATTACTCCTGCAGGTGAACATTTGGATGGACACAACTGGCCCAGTGAAGGATCGTCGATCCTTGAAGGAGCCCAGGCCAACTGGAACAAGAGCAGTCCACATCACATGGTTGTTAAAATGCACACAGGAATTGATAGATCTATGGGATTATGTATTCTGACTCAACCTCGGAGCCTTTCTCAATCGACGTTCGACCACCGTGAACTCACTGCGTCTGACCCCAGAACCCCTCACCGCCTTGACAAAGGCTCCGGAGCATCGGAAAGCGTTCAGGTCCTGAACCGCGACCGGTGAACGGTTCCGGGAACGACGTGGAGAGTGCACCGATGTGCACCGTCCAAACGGGGAGTTGGGGTGCGAACGTGGAGTGACAAAAGTGGGGTCTGGTACGAGGTAAGCTGTCTGTTTCTTGCCAGCTGTTGGTGTGGGTAAGGACTGCTTGAAGGCTCACCCTGGTTGATAAGTAGTTACACTATATATGCAGTGTACATTGTTTTCATGCTCTCTACTTAGTCGACTCACGCTACTATTCGATAACAAAGTTATATAGAGGTTCTTCTCCTTAAGGGTCTTCTGGACTTCCAGGGAACATCATTACCCCGATTTGGACTGAACGATTCTCTCTTCATGCTTCATTATAGGGCTTCATTGATGCAAAAGTCTACACGTCGACCGGTCGAGATCAACTCGATCCGCCCAGCGTCGATAAATGTCGTTGGCCGTCAAAATCCGTAGGCTCGGGCTTCGGGACTCCACGGAGTTATCGAATGGCCGCAGGAAGGGCCAACAGCCCTGAAAGCACGCCATGGCGAGACCAACGCAGCCCTCGACGTTTGGATAGGAAAAATCTGTGTCGTTGTCGTTGCCCAAAAAGCGTGACACGTGGTGCTGTGTTGAGCGACATGTTGTGAATCGGTTGGAAGTGGCGAGAGTGCAGAAATGAACTACAGCATGTTGCCAGGTTCAGGATCACTTAATAATAATACAATCCATCTGCTGACACGCTAAAGCGTGTGTAAAAGTGTCAAGGCTCAAAAGGGAATCATGATAGTAATGCAGTTGCTTTCTGAAGCATCATTATCCAAGAAACACACTGGGAAGGATGATTTTGGGTTGCTTGAATGTCCTTAAAAGGGTTTCTTGCGCTGTTGCGTGACCATAATTTTGGTCCGCTCACGATCTCAGGAGCTCGCAGCTCCAAGCAGCCTCTCAGATGGTCGCCAAGACAAAACATACACACTCTCAAGGCAACCTTCGTCAAGTGTAGGTCTTCGTCGCTGAATCACATGCAAAAAAAAACAAACAAGATCAATCAAGGGATCATACCAAATGTCTCTGATCTAGTGCCAAGCGAACTGCTGCACGCTCCCAAGAAACATGTGGAAGTAAGGCTGCACTCTTCTTCGTCAGTGAGATGAAGTACAGTCGACGGCGGGCGAAGCTTCACATCCGAGCCGGACAGGTTCCCGACAGGCCAGTCTTAGCCCCAAAACCGGTCTGAGACCTGCCAAGTATCTTGCCATGATGATAGCTTTAAAAAAAAGAACACACACACACCCAACAGAACACTTTCAATGGTTCTGAACATGAAAGAGTTCATGGAATCCTCGATCAGTTGGATTGGATGATTGGATGACCATGTTCCTGAGGGGATTTTCCACATCCATGATGATTCCAGGGATATTGGATTGCCAAGGCCACCCACCTATCCCCAAGATTTCACGACAGCACCCACCGGACACACCCAGGGCACCCTTTTTCCGCCGATGGCCCCCCCTTGCTCGGCTGCGGCGATTCTCTTCTTCTCACCCCGGGCGCCGCTCTCCGCCGGGGCCTCGATGGCCGGGACGCCAAACGAAGGAGTAGGTGGACAGGGCCTGATGGGTGAGCTTTTTTCGCCTGGTGAGTGGGTGGCTTTCGATGTCAGCCTCAGTTTCTGGCGTGGACTGGATACTAGTGGAGCTCGTGAACGGAGTGGACTGGCCGACTCGGCCGGAGTTCGGTCGCATCACCCGACGCATGGGACGAAGCCGACGAAGCCGACGAAGCCGGACTCCTTCTTTGGGCATGGCCAAAAGACCATGGCTTTTGGCCCAGTTCTGGGTGGTGTCGCAGCAGTGCCAAGTGGTTCAGGCCCCTCCTGTCTCTTAATGAGCGATAAGCTGCGGTGTTTTTGGACAACCTGAGGATCGGCTTCCATGGCTTTCTACTGTAAATTGCAGACCAAACGGACATCTGCCGCAACTCCTCAAGTAGATAAAGTTGCGTGTGGGGTAGAAATACTGGAGAGCTGGGGGCCGCTCAAATCCTTTACAAACAGCAGTGTTTTGTGGTGATATTTTGGGTTTGGTTGACTTGGCTTGGATTGAAAAAGCTGGAGGGGGTTGGGCGCGGCGCCTTCCCCCCAAGAGCAAACTGCCAACATCAACATCCACGAGAACCAAAAGCATCGGCACACCATCAAAAAAACCAACCTGCAACCAAATCAATCCAAAGCCAAACAAACCCGCCAAATTTGAAATTTGCCTACCAAAAGTCAACAGAGGCAGCTATTATATATCAAAAAAACCTAACCATCAAAATCCGAGAGAACCACCAAAAGCAAGCCACTCAAAAACCTTAAACCACAACAAAGCCATCAAAAGCCGCAGAAGCCACCAAAGCCCAAAGGCACATGGCCACCACACAAGCCAAAGTAGGTCCTTCAGGCGTTTGGAAATTCATGTAGATGTGCAAGTGTACGATGGTCTCTTGCGTTCCTCCTTGTTTTTGTTTTGATCTTTGACATGTAATATGCAATGTATCATGGTTTGTTCCTTGCATTCGGTTTTGCTATGGTGGTTCTTTAGTTTTGAGAACACTCGAAAGCCAAAGGGAACCGAAACCAAAAGCCAGAGAAGCCACGAAAGCCAGCCACAGAACCGACAGGCTAAAAGCAACACGTGAGACAAAAAGTAACAAAGAGATCGACAAACAAACATCCAAGAACCAATCGCCCTGCGAAATGTTTGTTACAAAGTTTTGGGACCTCGCTTAAACTACCAAACAAAACATCGCAGTTTCTGCTCGCTTCAGTTGATGCTCCTCTGAAAAGGCCCGTTGAGTCGATAGCACAAACCACCACGGATCTCATGGCTGTGGGGGTGGGTGAACATTCCATTCCCCAAGTGGATGGGTGGCGCTCACCAGTTGGAACATCTCCCTAAGTGCTCTGGGTGAGTAGATCAGCGGAATTCTTTCGCAGAGAGATCTGTGATATTGCAGAAGATCAAACCAGCGAGTCCATGCGAGTCCAACAGACTTCTGCTCATTGACCAACGAAACTGCATCACGAAAAACTGCACACCCCTCAACAAGCCCTGCTGGGATCCAAAAAGGGGATGACCAAAGGAGCTGACTGATGCTTGTTTGTTAAACAAGGTGAACGAAATACCTTCAATGGAAACGCCTGATCATTTCCACACCTCTCGGCTTGCTTGAAAAAACCCACCCCAGTGCCTCTAAGCAGATTGAGACGATCCCCACACATTCCAGCAATTGCCTGATGTCGCAGGAGAGAAAGAAGGGAAAAAAACAACGCCCGGACACCGACCGGGGGCGTTCTGCACCCCCTTTTTCAGGAACAGGCGAAAAGTGTTGACCGCCATCTGCAGCAGGTTTTGGGCGTTCGGTGAGTGCTACTGAGTTGATGGCGTCTGGCAGAAATGCCCAATTCTGGGTGATACGTAGGGAATGCATTTGTCTTATCTGGTCCTCTTGTGCTGACAATTACTGCATGCTTGAAGCTGATTGTCAGCCGAAAAAAACACCTAGTTGCCTCGACTGGAACAAGCTAGTTACTACAGCAGCTTGAAGCGCACCCGTGGGCGTTTTCTCCGAAAGGAATGTAAACAAATAACGACATGTCATGTGCATTCATGTGCCATGCTAACAGCCACAGATGGCCGACAACCATGTGGGTGTTTGGAGTCTATGCCCTATGAGTTGAAGGCCCCAGGAGTTCAATTTCTATGTGCACCAGCCTCTCCACGCCGGCACGTTGAACCTAGTTACTGCAGTAGACAGAACCAAAGAAGTCGCCGGTGCCGCAACGGCCTGGCCAAGCAGTCGACTTGCGGCTCTGGCTTGTGAAAAAGCACTGCAAGTAAGTAGAAACATGTAGAAACACCAAAATTGGTGCCATTCTTGAGGGGAATGCGATGTGATCATCATTTCCTATTCAATCATTCATCCCAACTCTGTCTGAGTCATGAGCAAACCCCGCGGTCATGACTAGTCCTTCTGCCACCTTTCACACTCTGATGCTTAGGGCCGATCAGGCGCCCATCCCGATGGACGCTGGAGGGAACCCAGGTGCAGGAGTCCCTGCCAGGACCCTCTAAGGGGTGCCCTGTCTGGAAGCCTATAGGTAGTGTGGGGTAGTCCATTGGACACCCCTTGGAGGGTCCAGGTGGAGGGTCCCTGGAGCGGCACCTTGCCCTGCGCGGATGGTGCAGCCGCACTCGGCGCACGCCACGTCCACGGCATTGCGACGCTTCATCGCCTGGGCGGAAGCGCAGGGCACGTCCTTCCACCCAGGAGATGCCAATGGATTACTGTCCGTAGGGCTCCAGTCGTACTTCCTCAGAAGGTACTTGGACCCTCCTGGCACCCACCCCAGTCCCACCTTCGAAACGAAGGTACGACTGGAGCACTATAGGGTGTAAGACCAAAAGATCCACAACGTCCTGATCCCCGCAAGTCACCCTTCCGCCATGAAGTCTGCGATCGTAGCATCCTTTGGAACAAAGTCTGAGCCCAAACGGTGAAGACATACACAGCAAAACAGAACCCAAACGCTCCATGGGACTGGCATATTGACCGTCCCATTGGGGTGGTTTGGGGGGGTCAATGGGGCGGCAGTCCTATGGCAGTCCCATGGAGTGTCTGGGAATCATGTACCAGTATCCGACGTACCAGCATGGAGACCCTCTGCGTGCCAACAACCGTCAACCCTCGAACGAGGAGACCTGGCAGTAAGGATGCTGGCAAAACCACCTATAGAACCCATTTTGGACGAAGTTGGGCCATATTTCATGTTCCCTAGAGCTCCAGTCGCACCTTCGTTTCGAAGCTATTTGGGTGCCAGGAGGGTCCATCCAAATACCTTGGGAGGAGGGTACTGTACCAGGAAGGCCACTCAGGGGTCACTCAGGGGTCACTTAGATCCTCCAAACTTGGGGTCACTACTAGGAACAAGTGCATCGCTACTAGTAACAAGTGCATTACTAGTAGTAACAAGAAGCTAGTAGTAAACAAGAAGCTCCAGGTACCAGCGCCAGTGCAGCCCAGGGCACGTGGGGCAAATCCTGCGAGGAGGATGCCAAAGCGTCGACCTGCCGTTGGCTCGTCGAAAAATCGCCGTTGGCCTCGTTGCCAGTCGATCGGGGAGGTGCTTTTGAGGTCACCAAAAGACAATTCCCAGACACTCCATGGGACTGCCATATATATGCCTACATTGGAGGGGTTTTGGGGGTTTGGGATTGGTGGGCCAAAAACAGGTCAAAACCTCAAGCAAGCCTCTTTGCAGGTCAAGTGTAGTTTTGTCTCGCCGTCGCCCCAGAAAATATGCCTCCGCTTCGCTCCAAACGCCTCCATTCTACCGACCTCCCCTCTTCCCCAGCCACCCAACAGAAAGGAGCCTGGCCGGCTTGGCCAAAGTCAGGCATGTAGGCACGCACCTGGAATCGTCCACGGCGACCACGGCGGGCAAGGCGACCGCCCGTGGGAATCCTTCCGAAAAAGGTGATCCAAGGAATCCGCTGGTCTGACATCGTCCACTGGTCATCCGGAACATGGCGCTGCCCAAGGAGCATCTGGCCACGGCCAGCCGGGAATCATGGAAGCCACGTCCCATCCTGCAAGGTCGGCAGTGAAAGTCCCGGCGGTAAGGAGATCGAAGCCAGGAGCCCCAGTTCAGCGGTGATTCGTCATTCGTCACGTCAAGTCTAACGGCACTCATCAGTTTGACAAGTAACAACAATCATCCCGGAAGCTTCCAAGGTATCCTGACGGGGTTCTCCGGGATCTTCTTTCACCAAATTCTGGCAGAAATCATGCAATACACTCTCCTAAATAATAATGGAAATGGAAAACCACCAGCGCAGGAAGCGCTGGTCATCCGAAATCAGGGCCATGCCGCCATCACCCACCTCAATCAACCCTTTGCCATGGGACCTGTGATTGTGGCAGTTCTCTTCCAACCCGCCATGTGACATGCCCCTAGCTCCGCGTCCCTCCCACAGACCAGGCTATACATGGCTAAAGCTATAGCCTATGTCCCTTTGGGATCCCTTTTGGACGCGTCCAAAGCGGGTCCCAGTCGTAGCGTCCAGCCCACCCGCTCCAACCTGCTCCTCCTCCCTCTGTGGGCGGCATGCGCGTACGCATCGGGTCGGACGGCCGGATCGGCAGGCTGTGGAAACGATGAGGATTCGGATAGAACATCATGGACCTCAGCGGATGTGTGTGTGTGTCCTCCTCCGTGGGGCGAGCTTCGGAGTTTCCCTCATGACATGACTAACTGTGGAAGACATGACTAACTGCAAACCCTGTGACTAAGTGTGTGTGTGTGTGTTTTCTCCGCGCTGCGTTGCAGGAGATCCGTGTTCTTCTTTTGTGGGTCTTCAGATACACTATTGGGTCTTCAGATACACTATTATCGCATTGCCACAGCTAAGTGGTGGCAACGTCAAGGGTCAGCCAGTTGGAGATCTGCTAATCAAGCATTCATGTCCCTGTAGACTATATCTTAGACTTACAGCCATTAACATGCTAATCATATCTAATCATGCAATAATATTCCACGAAAACCGAGTGGATTATTTTGGAACCACACACATGGTTGGTCAACCATCTTCCCCAAACACGCCCTCCGTCTATGCAAACCAATGCTGAGAGAGAACCTAATTACCTATTATACACTTGGCTGTCACCTAACTTTGAGCATTCCCAGACTTCTTCCATTGGGCTGAAAAGCGCCAGCCGGTGTAGGGATCCACATCCCTCCTCAGGTACGCTACGACTGGAGGTCTACTCGTCGCCGCTCGACCGAATCATCACCCTCAGCCTTTTGGACCAAAAGCCTTTCCACTTGGAGCTCCGGATTTCTCCGGGGAAGAAACGCTTCACACCAACACCTCGCGGTTTTCGTGACGGTGACCGAGAAGACCCTCGGTGAGTCGGACCGGTGCATTCGAGGCGCTGTCTGGGATCCATCATGGACCTTGGGATTCCAGACCGGTGGTGTCGACGGATTCCTCCCTTTCACCGTTGGATTAGACAGGATGGTCTGAATGTTTTCCTCATTTTGGGGGGAATTTACTCGAATTTAGAGGACTACAAAACATGCGATTTTTGGAAGGGCTCTTGCGAGCGATGTGTTCTTACAAGCGATGTAGGCGGTCCAGAACCGCACGATATGGATGCGAGAAGGGTCATGTTGGAAGCCAATGGTCGACGATATCACCTCACGTCACCATGTTCAAGAAAGGTTTGGGCATGTTGACGAATTGAGTTCCCAAATGCTAACGCTGCTAACCGCTTTGGGGGGCCGATGCATGATCTAAGTGGACCGATGGTGTCTTTTGAAAGGAATAGCTAGTAGATCCATTAGTATCAGTATGTACAGTACGTGCACCCTTCGTCTAGCTCCAAATGGATCCACATGGAGGGGATTCTCAAAATTCTCTATTCTGGGATCTTCCTGGATCACATCCCAGTGCCAAGGCTCTGCATCATGAGCCTGACAGGCTGACAGGTGGCAGGGATTTTTTCATGCCCACATGATGTCACTGAAGTGATGTAGCTCTGAGTCCAAGCCGGGGGGGGTCCTGGTTGACCACCGAACATGATGAGGGAGGTCTACATGCCTGATGGGTGGCGGCACAAAATGCCGGTGGCTTTCTGCGCCAACAAAAAGATGCAAAAAATCACATGGGATCACCCGCAAGGACAATCTTGACCAAATCCTCAGGCTGGAATCCGTTATTTTGCGTCCCTCCTGTACACCTGTTGCGGCACAGGCAACATGCGCGGCACATCATTTGTAGATCCGATGATGCTGCTGCCAGAATTACATGTTCTTCGCATACTCTGCGAATCATGGCCGAGAATGTGAGCTGTTGACACCCCAATTGATGGAGATACAACTGGTGCACTCTGACCTGCCGAACCCCGCACGCGGAAGATATCCCAACCCCCCCCCACACTGGCCTGTCGTCACGCTCGAAGAGCATGGACGGGCTAAGATAGCATCCGTAAGCAAGTTGGCCTCAGACACGTGCCGATTTGGCCACCCATAAGGGGACTTCAGACCAACCCCCGTGGAGTTTTCCGGGTCCAGAAGCCCTGGTGGACTGGTTAGATGAAACTTTGGGAGACATCGGCCATGGCTCGTTGCCGGTCTTCGACGGATCATAGCGCAGCAACATGGAAGAGTTGTAAAGCTCTATAGGGCTACGACTACCTCCTCAAAAGTAGTTGGAGCCCTTTAGGGGAAGATCAGCGACGTTTGTTTGGGGTTGACATGCACATGTGAGGAAAACTCTACACGGACTCGACTCCCTTCCAATACTGCGCCGTGGTTTTCGTTGCTCCGCGCCACGTCCGCCGGAAAACGCGCTCGTCCTCGATCCTTCCCCGGATCCGAAAACGAGCGGAGGAACCCGCTGAATGTGTTCGAACGACATCACCTCACCCGACGTTTGTTAAGTCCAGGACTCCACTCCGACCGGACGCGACCGGACGCGCCCCGACCGGTCGCAGCGAACCAAAAAAGGCGAGCGCGTTAAGGCGAGCGCGTACGCTCGCGACCGAGGGGCTGCCGTAAAGCTCACAGCAAGGTGCTAAAAGGAGGCTGAAGGCCTCCGAACTCGGGACCAGCTCCGAGCGGGGACCAAACGTACGACGACGCTGGTCTGACCCAGGTGGGGGGGGACGAGCGAAGAGAGATCCCTGGTCATTGACTAAAGCAAACCAGGACTGAGACCAAGAGGTGTCTATTTTCATAGCCTCGATCTTAGAGGTGTCATGAGGTGTCCCAAAACCACCGGGCGAACGGAAGGTCCTCCAGGAACATATCAAGCAGATCATTTTGAGTTTGACCTGGGCAAATCGAAGCATGTTTGAACACACAGCGCATAGGGCTGGTCCTTTGGATGGACCTGAATGGAAGTGACGTGACGTGGGGCAAAAAAAACAAGGGGAACCTGTGGTGGACTTGGCATGTCCAAGCTTCCTCCCTGCCAAGGGAACACCTCCCGCATTGTGAAGGACAGCCCCCCCTATACACATTCCATTAATTACATAACATCCCTGTTAACTACTATACATCATATATGTCACATCAACGAAAACCTTGAGACACCCCGTGTGCCAAACCCAGAACGACCGCACAAAAACAACCCCGCCCGACAACCGTTTTTTTCGTGGCCTCCAGGTTCAGGGCTAAATGATCCACGAAGGGCAAGTGCACCATGATGGCTCCAGTGACCTGATGGTCTCCAGCGTCTGCACAGACGATCCAGTGAGTCCCAGTGAAAGAGGTGCATCTGATGGTGCCATGTTCAGTTCAGAGACCCAATCTGAAAATGTGTGTCTAAACTCGTCTTCCAAAGCAGTGGTGGGGCTCAGTGGGGCACTCGATGGGTTCAAACAGTGTTCAATGTGTTTGACGAACCTACCGGGGGGGAACAACCACGTGGTATTGCAAAGGACGTCAGTCTTTCAAACATCAATCTTCAGGTTCTATAGTTCTATGCCATTCTTTGGCATCGTCATCGTTCAACTCCAATGTTGAATCCTGATGAACCAACTGATCCCCTATTTCATGACATGTTTTTAGACATTTGGGAGCTCCTTAGCAAATATACAAGCAGATTGCTGTTCCATGCTACTGCCGACCCAACGATCTGGAACTGACTGCAACCTTCCCGCGTGCGGCAAACGGTCACTCTCTTGGTCACTCTCGTGGTCTTTGGCAGACGGTCTTCTCCAGCTCCCCTGACACTCCCCGGTCTCGCCCCACACATGGAAGTGCTTCGCCATGTTTCCCCTCGACATCCGCCGAGCTGGCTCGCAGTCTCGGCTAAGCCTCCACCAAGGCGCCACGTGCTGTATGAGGTCCAGGACGTCCAACATGCCGGCGCCCCCCGCGAGTGCTAAGTAACAAGTCAACTCCTGAGATGCGCCAACGGTGGCGAACAGCGTTGACGAACGGCCTCAGGGCCAGGGGGGGCACGTGTTGCTCCAGGTGGTTATAGTTTAAGAACCTGAGAACGAAGGCTGTCCACAGCTGATCACAGCTCGCAATTCACAAAAAGAATCCGCGCGAGCCTTTTTGCTCGAGTGGAGCTGGTCCACTAGAGTCCCGTTCTCCTCACTGCGATCGGGCGACGAGACCTCTAGCTTTTGGAACCGACATCATTTTCAATATCTTCAATACATATCTGACTACAAAGTGTTCTCACTACAAGGGGTGTATCTTCTACTATAAGACTACATAAGGATCCTCTGCACGGCTACAGGGCCGAGCTTGTTCCTTATACCTCCACTCCACCCACCATATATACAACGGAACCATCCTCAAATTAAAACGAAAACTACTTAATGTCGACTGCCAATTATTAAACCCCCCAGTACTTTTTGCTATTATTATAATATATCAATACGAAAGAAAAACAATAACAAAGTCCTCTGGACCCACTGACTAGTGGACCAGAACACACACCACCAGCCCTCAGACTCGCCCGACAAGAGCCCAGCCACGGAGACCTGCAGGGAACAGCGCGCGTTGTTCCCCACCACGAAGACTAAGAGGCCTGGCGCGCGCGCGCGCCAAAGAGGCGTGGACGCAATGCTCTGCATGTCCCGCGAAAAAAGAATGAAACAAGAGGAGGGAGCACTGGAGTAAACGGGTTGGGAGAGTATAGTATAGGTATAATATATGATCATAATTCTTGTTTACTGACCGTTACAGGTAGGACCAACCCTAATTTCAACATATAGATTAGAAGAAATACGCTATCGCTTTTTAAATATACGATTTTTAAAACAGGTGAACAGGTATTTTAGACTACCTCCGGCAAGGTTTTTGCCGGCCCGGCCCGACCCTTTAAACATACGGAATGAATATACGGTACGATTTAAATATACGGTCAGCTTACATATGTGCGGCGGCATTTATTTGGTA